TAATCTATACTTATATAAAAAGTCATCATATTTACTAAAAATATTAGGCAGAAAAGTCAAAGTAATTAATGTTTGCTGAAAATAGAATGATACTAATTATAGATTTATTCTGGTATTTATAGGCTTGACATTAAAGATTTGTTATGGGATAAAAATCAGATTTTTTTTACCTTTGCTAAAAAAATCAAAGGTAAGTATAGATTTGTTTATATTAACAAATCATAAAAAGATATTAAATCCATATTGTAAAAAAAAATAATTCATATAATTTTATAACAATTCTACTACACTATTTAACTGTATTCTTTTTTATTATATAATAAAATAATAATTAAATATTATATGGTGAACAACAATAAGTAAAATTGTTACTTTCTCTTATATCAACGGATAAATTTATATGGTAAAATTAACTTTTTATTAGTATAAATGTTTTAGTGAGATAATATATTAATTATTTTACAAACTAGCCCTAACATTCTTATATTTAATGTTCTGGTTAAAAAAACAACGTTTGTTAAAAGATGTGGAAAAAAACTTATAAAAACCCTATTGTTTTTTAGACTTAACGTTGATTAAAAGAGGTAGAAAATAGATAATAACCCTATTATATTTTAGACTTAAACGGACAAGGCTGTGAAAATAACTCATTTAATATCTCTGTCATGTGCATCGCACGGGGTACGTACTAGTAATATAAAAAGCTCCAAAAGATTACAATGGATTGTCCATTGGCAATACTTAGAAGGTGATTGTTTACCAATTCAACTAAAAAAAATCAATCAAAACTCAAATTTAACTCAACTTCATTATTCTCAATATTATCAATATAATTAAATAATATCAACCAATCATTCTTACACATCACATCAACTTTAATTCACTATTCATCCACTCACATTTTTTAACTAACCATCCATTCCAATCATTTTTCTCCTACTTTACATCAAATCAACTTTAATTCATTTATTTAAATAATATTTTAATATATCCACTAACAACTAACCATACCACCTTTTTTTTTCAAAATTAACTATAGTTAAAAAACAAACCAAATAAAAACTAGTTGAATCCATAAACAATCATTCCCTCACCTTTGCATTTAAAACACTAAACGCAAAGGAAAAGAAGGCTCCTACGAGGGAATTCATCCCGAGCCAGACGAACTAGACTAAACACACTAAACACAACACTCTCCAAAGGAAGACAAAGCCACTCCGCAAGAGGGAGACAAAGTCACTCCCTTTTGGGAGACCAAGACACAACAACAAAAAAACAAAACAAAACAAGAACATCCTACAACAAACAACACAAAACAGGCACAAACACAAACTAAAATCTAGACATACTAATAAAATACGAATAAAGCCCGCCCCACTGTCCGACAAGCTACTCCAAAACTCAAACGCACGAAGAAGACGCCTGGAGATGAACACCAAGGAAGACAAGACGACGACCCAGGACACAGACCTAGAGACTCCCAACTTTGAATAAACGGCTAAGGCTAACTAGATTGGGGCCAGAAAATCAAAGCCTTCTTCCCCAGCAACACCACCAGACAACAAGCCCCTGGAGACCAGTCACCATCCCCTCCCCGCACACAATACCGGCGAGCCCGACCCACTTCAACCGAAATTGAAACAGAGCCCCGCCAGAGGAGACCACCCTTCCCCACCCAGAGAAAAGAAGGAATTTGGGGGAGGTAATAGCATCGGCCACTAAAAAGGCAGCAAGCGGTGCTGACGAAAAAAAAATTGTCCACCGGTTGATGACAAATCCCGTAAAGGCGCCCGCCGAGAGGACTGCTCTACGCCGGCAATTGGAACCGAAAACCGATGGCAAAGAGAAATTCTCCCAGGTGCCGGTCATCTCTGCGTTGAAGTGGAGAAGCCGACGGTGGTGAGGAGGCGGCGCAGCGAAGAAGCAGGAACGAAGAGGTGAGTGCAGGGGCGGAGCTAGGATTCAAATTATCCCTGGACTATGCTTATTGTAATGAAACTTGCATACCACATAAATGAATTATAAGTATGACAAACCAAATAAAAAATTGATCCAAAATAAGTGCTTAATTGAAAATAATTTAATTTTGTTGGGCTTCTTAACCATAGAAAATTAAATTTTATTATAAAAACGTATATTTGTAATACAAATTTTCACGTATTTATTTATAATATAATATAAATTATGGCATTTGAAAAGAATATATAGATATATTGAAAAGTATGGTTGTCTAACTATTAGACATCTTAATTAACAATTGTTGATAAATAAGTATTACTAAATAAAAAGTGAATATTGGCCAAAATTATTTAACGCGATGTAAATAAAATAAGCAAGATTTATTATAAAATTAATAAATAAAAGAATATTCAAGCATAAATGAAATGTATTATATTAGGATATTAATGTATAATATAAAAAATTAAATGAGATTAAATCTAAAACATAAATTATGAAAAAAAATATTATAAACTGATAACCGACTTACCAAGTAATTTTCTTTAAACAAATACCCCTTAATAATTAACTTGCCAAGTAATTATCTTAATATAAATATCTCTAATTGGTATGATGGAATGAAATTTCATAGGAATGGAATGAATTGAAGAATGGAATGATTATGGGAATGAAATGAAACATATTTTGTCATTGATGCGTTTGGTATGCAGAAGGAATATGACTAGAATGGAATGACATTATCATTTTTTATTATAAAAATAAATAAAAGCTTTTTTTAAAAAATAATGTACTTTTAATAAATTATATATAAATGCTTTTTTAATTATATAAAAATAAAATAATATATTTTTAATAATATATAAAAATAGAATAATATATTGTTTAATAATATAAAAATAATATATTTTTAATAATATATAAAAATAAAATAATATATTTTTAAATTATATATAAAAAATAATATATTCTTAAAAGTAATATATTTTTAATATATAAAAAATAATATATTTTTAATAATATATAAAAATAAAATAATATATTTTTAAATTATATATAAATACTTTTTTTAGTTTTATTTTTATATAAGTATTTAATATTTCTAATTAAAAATTAAATAAAAGTAAGTTTTCAATATTTTTACTTGAATTTTTTTAAAAAAATAATTTTATTTAATATATTTTAATCATGATTTATAATATATATTATATATTTATTTTTTATAATTATTTGTTATTTTATTTTTTAAAATTTGATTCCTACACACATGGGAATGAGAAAACCTTCCCTTTACTATGGAATGGCTAATCCCATGAAGATGGGTTTTGTCATTCCCATTGGAATGGTCATTCCTTCCCAAAAAATATACCAATCATGAGATAAGGAATGAGTAAGGAAAAGATCATTCTATTCCAATGTCATTCCTTCCTATCAATCATGTCATAAGTAATTATCTCTGATAATACTCTTCCTAGTCATACGATGTTATCTGTTGTCTGTTGATAAGCCACCAAGCAGGAAAACTTAATAAAATATTGTTAAAAATATTGTAAAACATCTCATACATCAACTAAATAATGAACCATGTATATATATAATTAATAGGACGTTAGAGGCAACCCAGGCTACAGCCCAGGCAACAATATGTGTACCTTCGCCCCTGGGTGAGTGTAGAATTGTGTCTAACGTTTTTATTGTTTAATTTAAGGGTTAATTGCCTAGAAAATCCTCAACTTTTGTATAATTGCAAATAAAACTCTAACTTTTTTATCTTTGCAAATAAATATCAAATTTTTATTATGTGTTGCAAATTTGTCTCAAAACCATTTTCTGTCCAAGTCAAGCTGACGTGTCCGATCAAAAATCTTACGTGGCACTGATGAGGCTTGCGTGGTTGACCAATTTTTCCACATCATCCTAAAGTCGTGTGGCAATAAAACCAAGATCCTAATTCCCCCAAATAAAACCAAGATCCCTAAAATTTTATTTGCAGGATCCATCAAAGCTTATCTGCAAAATCCATATGCAGAAACCAAGTTCCCTATAGGTATGCTTCTTTTCGAAATTCGAATTCCCTTAATTCTTGAGAAAAAAACTCCTAAAATCCAAAAATCCTAAATTTTAACCCTATTCACAATTAAAACCCTAAAATTGCAAAATAGAATTAGAATTTACCCGTTCTCCATTGACGAAAGTCACGAAACCTCCAAGCCTATTGTTTCTATACTTCACATACTAAAGCCTTATCATCAGTCTTATAGCTAAGCCCAAAAGTATCGTCGTGGAAATCTAATATTAAATTCAATTTCGAAACTAATAATTTTGAATCAAAACATATCATGTCATTAATGCTATTTACAATTGTTGCCTATCCGGGCATGTAGTGGTGCGTATACAGGAAGATTGATAAGTACGTCAGCTCTGACACTCATCCAGATGCGTTGATGATCATAACGACCAAATCCATAAAAAAGAACCCATAATAGGACCATAGAAAAGTAGAGGACATGTTACGTATATAAGGATATGGTGAACAACCCTCTATAGATTGAGTTCTACGAACTGGTCTGAAGGTGGGCCTACATCTGAGAGCGGAAATTATAAACCTAACTTAACTAATAATTTATTTTAATGTTCATATTAGCATAATTTCACGAATAATTTTTTATATAATTCTAGAATGCGCAGAGCCTAAGTGGCAGACTCGCACACTTCGAAATCCTCATATGGAAGAATGTATCTCCAACAATCCCTATCATCAGTCCTATAACTAAACCCAAAACTATCGACGTGGAAATCTATGAAATTCAGTTTCGAAATTAATAATTGTGAATCAAAACATATCATATCATATCATCATTGAAATAATTTTTTATTGGTGCCTATCCAAGCATGTAGTGTGCATAATACATGAAGACTACTAAGTACGTTAGTTCTGTCATGCATCCAAATGCATTGATGATCCTGACGACCAGTGGCGAAACCAGAATCCGAATAAAGGGATGGCCGATTTTTCATTAGACCACAACAAAATTTTATCCGTTTTATTTCGTTTTCGAGCCACTTCAACCCGAACCTCGGATATTTATTTTGTGACCCATTGATGTCTATAATTCGGTCCATTTACCTCAAAGACTGACCCTACGAATATGGTTTTGGCCCAATATTTTGTTTCAAATTTTAAAATCAAAGAGCTTAATTTTGGTAAAAATACATCAGCCCTTAATAGTCCATTTTGACCGGCAAAGAGACCCCAAAACCGTGCTATTACATTATTCATTTATGGAGTAATGGCCCACAATTGATGTCATTGAATTCCTCTTAATTTTCCTCCAAGAAAACCCTCTCTCTCCTTTACGTTTTTCTCGACCTTGGGAGATCTGAAATTTTAGGCCTGGAGGATCAGAAATTAAGCGCTCTCGACGCCTCTCCCTTGATCTCTCAAAATTTCTCGAAAAATTCACCTTCTCCCTCGGCCTTCAGCCACACGACCCTGTTGAGCCCTTCGTCGGCGCCGCTCCGGTGAACCTCTTCCAGCGGCTTCGAGCGCACGTAGCCGGCGACAATCTCCCGGCGTTCAAAGCTCCGACCGGCGACCGTTCGCACGCTCGACTATCGTCCGACAAGCCCAAGCTTTCGACGGCATCGCATAGTGCAGAAACACCGCGACGTCTGGGCTGCGACCTCCGACGGGCCTTGACCTCCGGCAACATCGAGCCTCGATTTCCGTCGGGCCGCGGCTTCTCCCAAGCCCCGACCATTGTTTGGCAATATTGAGCTCTCCGCGATCGAATTGAGCAACTGTCCATCCCTGACTCCCTCTCCCTGTGCGCAGATTTCATGGAAGGGCGCCGCCTCCGGCCGGCGACCTCGGCCCCTATACCTATTAAAAAAAAAAATTATGGGATGGTCGAGACCACTCCTTGCCATAGCGTGGTTTCGCCCCTACTGACGACCAAATCAATAAAAATATACCTATAATAGGTAAATAGAAAAGCAGAGGACATGACAAGTATATAAGGATATGGTGAATTGAGTTCTTACAAACTCGTATGAAGGTGGGCCTACATTTTAGAGCACAAAGTATAAACCGAACTTATTAACTAATAATATATTTGAAGGTCCGTATTAGCTTAATTTAACGAATAATTGTTTTTAAAATATAAACATGATTTACTGTGACTTGAAATTTAGAGCCATGTAATTTAATTATTTTATAGAAGTATTTACCATTTATATACCTATTTGGATGACCATGTCAATTGTGTTGATTGAACCCATTATTATATTGCTATAATTATCATGTTCAATTTCATAAAGGAAAAATAGCATACTTTGTCTAAATCCGGAGGGACTTTGATCAAGGTTTTTTCTTCCCATCCCCTCTAAAAAAATTCCCCTAAAATAAAAATATTTTGAGAAACTAGTAAAGTGCACGTGCAATGCACGTGCGGTGTACGTGCGATGCACGTGGTGATTATAAGTATTTTTTTTTGGATTAATTTTGGAGTAAAGAAAAATAATTAGTTTGACAATCATGTGAATGATTGAATAAAATTAATAATAATAATAATAATAATAATAATAATAATAATAATAATAATAATAATAATATTATTACTATTATTATTATTGTGTTCGCAGTATAAATAGAATGAGATAACATATTAATAAACGAGTATGCAACAAACTAAAATATAAATAGGATCTTTATTTTGATACAAGTCTATATTTAATCTCCAAGCAAGTCCGCATAAATAATTTTTAATATGTACAAGATAATTATATCATATACAACTCAAAAAGTTAATAGTTTAATATTTAATTTCGTGAAGGCTAAGTATATATACCGATCTGGCATATCTAGACTGCTCCGATGGCATCTGCTAAGAAAAGAAAATAAATATTATTCCATAAAAAAATTATAATCAATTAATCATACAAATGTTTTTAAAATTTAAATGATATACGCAATTAGGACTTAATGGGATAATCCTCTCGAAGCATCACATAGATAAACCAAACGATGCCACCAAATATAAAGAAACGTGACATTAAAACTGACATGTCCTCAACATTTCTATCGCGGAACACTCTGCGCTGTAAAACAATATAGATAGAATAATATTGAAAATTAACTTAAAAATAAGATATTATTTTAATTTATTTATAATACTAGCATTTACCACACTTCTTAATGGTGCAGCAAAGTCTAGCAGTGTGAATGGCTGAATGCCACACATATCCCCTCGACAATAGAAATCCTCATAATGGGCACTATGAGGGAGAACGTAACTCCAACAATCCATATCATCAGTCCTATAGCTACGCCCAAAACTATCTTCATAGAAATCTAATATGAAATTCAATATCGAAATTAATAATTTCGAATCAAAACATATCATGTAATTGAAATAGTTTACTATAGTTGCTCACCGTAGCATGTAGTGGTGCGTAATACATGAAGATTGATAAGTACATCAGCTCTGTCACGCATTCAGATGCGTTGATGGTCATAACAACCAAATCCATGAAAAAGTACCCAAAATAGGTCCATAGAAAAGCGGAGGACATTTTCGCTTAAAATTTTCCCGCCCCTCCCCTCCCCTCCTAACTTACTAACCAAACAAAGAGTAAAAAAAAAATTATCCCCTCCCCTCTCAATTTCTCCCCAACCAAACAATTCCTAAGTTTTCAAATATATTTATAACTAGTACAATACTCGTGTACTATACATGTACTTAAATATATTAATATTTGTACAATAAAAATTAAAATAACTAGTGCGAATCCCATTCGATGCACGGGTAAGAGATATTCATTAATATTTATAATTAAAAATTCTCATTAAATGATAGTTATAAATTAAAAATATGGAATCAATATGTAATACAATATACCTATATTAATTTATTGAAAATGCGATATGAAATTTAAATTGTGCAAAATTACATAAAAATGTCTATTTAAAATTAGTACATAAACAGTGCGTTGCACATAACTGATAATACATTACATTATATTCGTTTCAAAATTGTGGCATTTCAAATTTTTATTCAGGAGATTCGATTTGACTATAATGTGATTCTATAAAATAATTATTTTGGTAAAATTTTATCATATATTCAAAAACTTATGTGAATAATAAGTATAAATATAAAACTTATATTATTCCATTAAATAAATGAATTTATTTTTGTATAAAATATTCAAATAAAAAATTTAAGTAGTTGAGTAAAAACAATCAGTCATAAGATTTTTTATGCCAAAAAAATCAACACTCTTTATCATGCTAAAAAAAATGAACAGTACATTTCACACAAAAAATATTTGAAATGTCGTAACAAAAAATGAATTAAATCAAGACCCACTAATTATACAAAAAAAATTAACCAGAGCTTATTCTATAAAAAAAAATCAATACACGGATATTATATCAAAATATCCACTCTTATTATTTTGTCGGAGTTATGGTAATTTTATTATGTTATTTTCACATGAAAAATGAAATAAAAATTGAAACCCACGCCTAAAAACCAATATATTGGTCTGCACATTACAGAAAAAAAGTACAATTAATTTTCAACAAATGTTCCTACCAAAAGACAGTCATCAAATAACCTAAACAAATTTGCTCACTTTATACAATATATTGATTAATTTATTTCCCATAGAAACAACCATCAATACCAAAAATAAATTCGTCCAGTTTATACCATGTATTAATTAATTCACATGATTTGAGTAATTAAGGTATCTTAAAATATGGCTTGATTATTTCCTTAAATAATGAGCCGTAATTTCCATAAGTGATCATTTGAAATATACTATAAATTGTTAAATTAGTTTTCCAAAATAGTAAATAGATTTTTTGAGGGAAATAATTACTATTTTAAAAATAATCAAACCTTTTTATATATATAGATTTCTAATTTTTATTGTGAAATTATGTATGATGAATATGAAAAAATAATAAATAATTAACCAAATGGTGCCTGTATTTTTACACTAAATTTGTCAAAAAAGATTTTTTTAATATGTTTTTAAAATATATATGTATAAAACTAATATTATTTACAACTCCATATATTTGATTCGATTTTTCTAAAACGAAACAAGTTTTATTGTACTGTGATTATATTTTATATTTATAGAATTAGTTTCTCACGTTTATTAATTTTTAAGTATTTTAAATCCATATAATTAATAATTTTGAATTTACGTAGAAATGTATTATTTTCTAACTTTATGAAATACAAAATTATTTTATTATACTTAATTATGATATTCTTTTATATTTACTATTTTAAATAACATAATAACATTTAGTTTTTTATATAATCTATTTAAATTGAGAATAAATGTTTTATAATATTTCTTAAAATTTATTTTATGTAATAGTTAATTTTTATTTTTATCCAAAATTTGTGGAAAAATACAATAAAATGATTATTTTATAGTGTATTAACAAATAATATTTTTATAATTTTTATTAAATAGTTTTTATTATTTTTTGATGTTTTTAAAATTGAGTTGATAATAAAATTAATTTTATTTATAAATATAAGTGAAATTATTTTTTATTTTATATATGCAATATGGATGTTAAATTGAAGATCGTTAAAATATAATTATTTTGGTAGATCACATATAAAAAGAATATGCTAACTTAATAAGAAAAAGAAAGCTAAAATAGTTTATGGTAATTCTTAAATCTAATAATCAAAAGCAAACCTGAACATGTGTCAATACGAAACACAAATTTATGTCAAATAAGGTTACGAAGCACACGAGACTGCCAAATAGGCTCCGCGCATTCGAGAGTTATATATAGAAGCGATTTAAGTTTGATCAAATATTTTATGATTTGAAAATTTTAATAGCTATCGATAAAAGTCTAAATTTTCATAAACTACTTAAAAGTTAAAACCAACAAGATTTATCAGATAAAATTAGGGCACATCCGATTATGAAGCACCTTTACTATGAGACTTTATATTTATTAAAAATCTATAATTGCCATGACTGACTAGCAAGAACCCAATTATAACCTATATATTTGTTCCATGCCAGTAGATAATTGACAAAAAATGGAAGCAAACGAGAGCAAAATATCTCAGTTCGAGATTTTTCTTCTATTTATTCGCCGGAAAAGATCAATTTGAGTCCCATTGAATCACAACTAATAAATAGCAGCTCCCTTCTAAAGAATCTATCTCGAATTTATACGATAAAATGACTAAAACGGGCTCCAAACGTGGATGCTATCACCACCACTCAGTTTATATACTATCACACACTCCATAGTGCTCACTATATACTTTTTAAAAGAAAAAAAAAAGGAACATACACGCACATGATATCATAATATTATTTAAGTAAATAATAGAGGGNAATTTGAAGAAATTCTATTATCAAATTTTAAATTCGAAAGTGATATTTAGGGTGAAATTTCATATAATATATTTTTTTTAAATTTAGCAAATCTTAAAAATTATTAACAAATCTAAAAAAAGTTAAATACATGATAAATTTGGTAAAACCTTTTTAAAATTTCAAATGAATACGAGCCCTAAAAAATCTAAATTAAATACATCATTATTTTAAAATTTTTGAAAAAGTATTTGAAAATCCCTTATGAATACATGTATATAAATCCATTTTCATCCTGCTCACGGGCTGCTCATCAAAACACCCAGACGAGATGAGATAATCCAGAACACTATCCTTACCCATTTCCAATCACTTCCTTTAAACAAAACAACATAATAAATGGCAAACACATCCTCAGCCACCGTGTTCCTCCTCCTTCTCCTCCTCGCCGGCCACCGGCACTGTACCGGCGCCGGCACCGGCCCGATAAAAACGGTGGTGGTCCTGGTGATGGAGAACCGGTCGTTCGACCACATGCTGGGTTGGATGAAGAATTTCAACCCTGAAATCAACGGCGTCGACGGGTCCGAATCCAACCCAATTAACACCTCCGACCCGAAATCATCCCGGATCTTCTTCCGTGACCAGTCCCACTTCGTCGACCCGGACCCGGGCCACTCGTTCCAAGCCATCCGCGAGCAGATTTTCGGGTCGAACGACACCTCCGCCCGCGCGCCACCCATGAACGGGTTCGCCCAACAGGCCTTCTCTATGGACCCGAATATGACCCAGAGCGTAATGAACGGATTTCAACCCGATAAGGTTCTTCACAATTTGATTCAATCTTTTTATTTTTTTCCTTTTAAGCAAAATTGCATATTAATACACTATTTTTCATGTTTTTACAATTTAATCACCATATTAAATTTCGTAAATTAATACACTATCTTTACCATTTTTGCAAATTGATACGGTTCGTTCACCTAAATTTGACATGGCATTGACGTGGTTTAATGCCATGTCAGATTTCCGTTACATTTTTTTGATGGAATCGTTATTCATGTATTGATTTGTAAAAATGATAAAAGTAGTGTATTAATTTCTAAAATTTCAAAATGTAGTGATTAAATTACAAAATAATAAAAGGTGGTGGATTAATATGCAAAGTTTACATTTCTTTTATAACAATTATTAATAATTACAATCCCTTTTTGTTTTTTTTTCCAGGTGGCGGTGTACAAAACCCTGGTATCCGAATTCGCGGTGTTCGACCGGTGGTTTGCCTCCGTGCCGGCCTCGACTCAGCCCAACCGTCTCTACATCCACTCTGCCACCTCACACGGCGCCACCTCCAACGTGGCGGCCCTTCTCGCCAAAGGCTACCCACAACGGACAATCTTCGACGACCTCGAAGACGCCGGAGTTTCCTTCGGAATATACTACCAGAATATTCCGGCCACACTCTTCTACAAGAATCTCCGTAAAATTAAATATCTCGGCAAATTCCACCCGTACGGGCTCTCATTCAAGAGCGACTCTAAGAACGGAAAACTCCCGAATTACACAGTGGTGGAGCAGAGGTACATGGACTCAAAAGTCGAGCCCGCAAACGACGACCACCCGTCTCACGACGTGCACCAAGGGCAATTGTTTGTTAAGGAAGTGTACGAAACGCTTAGGTCGGGCCCACAGTGGAACGAGACGCTCTTTGTTATCACGTATGACGAGCACGGTGGGTTCTACGACCATGTGCCCACGCCAAATGTCGGTGTGCCGAGCCCGGATGGAGTTATAGGGCCCGACCCGTTTTACTTCAAATTCGACAGATTGGGAGTTAGGGTTCCGACTATTGCCGTCTCGCCGTGGATTAAAAAGGGAACTGGTAAATTTCTTTCGAAAAACACAAACATTGCTCTCTAAGTGGTTTGATTTTTGAATTGAGTTTTTTTTTTTTTTTCAGTGTGAACTAATTGATTTGTGACTGTGTAAAGCTGGTTTACAGATTCTTTTTTCTTTTTCTTTTTCTTTTTTTTCTTCAGTCTCATTTAATTACATTTTGCTGCACCATTTCACACTATAAAGAGGTTTCCCATTTATCCTTCAACCACCTAATGATAAATGCAGTGGTTAGAGTAGAGTTTCAAATTGTGGGGCACATTATTATGTGGTGTCTGCTTTTATATATGCTTTAGATAAATGAAAATTGGTCCTCCAGTGTGAAATCAAAAGCACTAAATAGCCGCAGGAACAGAAAACCATCTTACTCAATCTCCATTTCACCAACATGGAAAAGCCTGCCCTTCTCGTAACAGAGAGCTCGAACATGTGCTAAAGCTTTTGGCTTGTTTGGCAATCACTACATATTTATTATATAGTAATATTTTGTAAATTTGTGCAGTTGTTCATGGCCCTAACGGCTCGCCTACTCAAACATCGGAGTTCGAGCACTCTTCAATTCCGGCAACCGTAAGGAAGATTTTTAATCTGACATCGCCACCTCTTACAAAGAGAGAGGAATGGGCAGGAACTTTCGACAGCATTCTTAATATCCTCAAGAAGCCCAGAACTGATTGTCCTGGTTAGTCATATATCTATGTTTTGTGCAATAAAAACATGTTAGGAGCAAACGAAAATTTGGAAAAATAACAGGGCTGCTATACAATTAGTCGAAACTTGCTCAATTGTACTTAATTCTTGAATTTCATTTGTTTAAATGTGCAGAGCAACTTCCCAATCCAGTCGAAATAAGGCAGGGAGAAGCAAATGAGGATGCCCAAGTGAGTGAGTTTCAACAAGAGCTTATACAGCTTGCAGCTGTTCTCAAAGGAGAAGATATACTGACGAGCTACCCAACAAAGATGGGTAAGAACATGAGCGTGAGGCAAGGGAAAGAGTACATGGAGAGTGCCGTCAAGAGTTTTTTCGAAGCCGGTTTTGCTGCTAAAAGGATGGGAGTGGACGAGCAACAAATCGTGAAGATGAGACCCTCCCTCTCTACAAGACCTTGAAAGTGATACCTTTCCTCTATTGTACAAGAATCATAGAATAAGTTACAGAACAGTGCTGTTGAGGAGATACATATGCTATACCTTTCAAGTGCTGGCAAGATTAGTGACTGTGATTTTTCAAAGAAAAAGAGTTAATTAGAAAAGCTGTCTTCAAGTGGAACACAATCACAATGTGGACCAAGTTATGTTTAATAATTGCAAGTGCCCCTCTGACTATTTTCCTTTTTCTTGGCCCCCCACAAAAGTGCTCTCAATTCCTATTTTGAGAGCATATTTACTCACAAAGCTTTATAAACCTTACTTTTTATATTCACAATATTCCACGTCATCTAAACGTCATTCTCACTCCCAATATCACAATCCTCCAATAACCATAAACCTCACAAACCTTCTTTTCGTGGGTCCCATGTTTCCCCTACTTTAATTTATATATCAATTTAATCCATATTTACTAAAAACACTAATAATTTTTTACAATGACATATTTATTATATATCATAATAAATATATTTTGCGTACAATTAAAATTAAAAAATAATAATAATAAGTGAAATTTATTACACATAAACCTTACAATAATATAAATATAAAAAATTACACGCCGACAAAAATAAAAAAAATAATAAAAAAATTTGATTACACATAAACCTTACAATAATATAAAATCTTGAAAATTACATGGTGATAAAAATTAAAATTTTTATACATGATCGATATATTACTCTTAATAATCAGGTTCATTCCATATATGTTCAACTAGGTCATGCCTAAGTTGATGATGAACCTGTCTGTCTTGCACTTCGGCTCGTATTTGCAAGTAGCGACGAAAATTTGTTGGATGACCTTGATGTGTTTGGATTAGTGGTTCACCATCTTCATTGGACCAATTGGTTACCTCCTCACCCTCGTCCTCAATTATCATATTATGTAAAATAATACACGATAACATTATTTCACTCAGATCTTCTTTGTGCCCAAAACGAGCTAGACCACGTACAACTGCCCATCTTGACTGGAGCACTCCGAAAGCACGTTCAACATCTTTTCTTGCAGCCTCTTGTCGTTGCTTAAACTTTTTCCTCTTTGGATCCTCTGGACATTGAAAGCTTTTCACAAATGTTGCCCATTCCGGATAGATACCATCTGTTAAGTAGTAACCTTTTTCATAATGGGTTCCATTTACTGTAAAATTTACCTCCGGTGCTACCCCATGTAAAACATCGTTGAATAGTGGACACTCGTGTAACACATTAATATCATTTCGTGATCCAGCGAGTCCAAAAAAGGCATGCCAGATCCACAAGTCTTGTGAGGCTACAGCTTCAAGCATTATTGTGGGTACTCCATGATCCCCTCGAGTGTAAGAGCCCTGCCAACCAACTGGACAATTTTTCCATTCCCAGTGCATACAATCAAGACTCCCTAGCATTCCCGAAAAACCATGTTTTCCCTCATGTAATACAAGTAGCCATTGAATGTCAGCATCATTGGGTGAACGCAAGTATTGGGATGCAAATATTTGTCGCACACATCGACAAAACTCGATGAGACTTCTATTTGCCGTCTGCTCTGACATGCGTAAGTATTCATCACACTGATCGGCGGGTGCTTCATATGCCAGTTGGCGTATAGCAGCGGTACACTTTTGAATAGGTGTAAAACTTTTCTTGCCAGTCGCATCTACTTTGCTCTTAAAGTAATCAGAATAATTTTCAATAGAATCAACAATACGAGAAAATAAACGTCTAGACATACGAAATCTACGACGAAAGAAGCCCTCGTGATAGGTGGGCTCATTAGCAAAATAATCTCTTACAAGTAGACTGTGTCCAGCATCACGATCTCGGTGCACTACTCGCCTTGTTGAATTTTCAGCTTGTTCGTCCTCTTGGAACTCATTAATAGCTGCCTCCATCAAGGCAAATTCAGCTTTTGCGAGAGAATCATCAAGCATACTTTTCAAGAACGCACGATATGCTACTCTGTCATTTGTACGTCTAGACATTTTATTAGAAATAATAAAGAGAAAACAGAGACTTGAGGAAAAGAAGAGTAAATGGAGAAGAAAAAAAATGATGTTGTTTGCTGAAGGTGGTTGGTGTCTAATTGAATCTACCAATGCTCCATTTTATAATGAGAAGATGAGAAGTTAAAGGTAAGGTTTTACAAATGGTAGGTTGGAATACGTGACATGTCTTTCAAACATAATTAATTTGGTTGGTGGGCATTTATTTTGTTCAATATAATGAATGCAGTTGGATAGAGACATGAACAAGGTAGACGAAAAATACAAAATGACAAACATTAAAATTAAACACTTTACAATACATAAAAATAAATTACAGTACAAATTCTTGCAAAAAAAATACGAGAAACATAAATAGAATACATTTTCAAATTTAATTGATGCCCAAATCCTCTTTCAGTTCGGCAAGAAGCCCATAATGAGCTTCTAATGCTTCTTCAGTCATAGTTGAAGTGTCTTCCTTTAGTATTTCTTTATAGGTCTTCCACGACTCTATGCATACCAACTTCTTTATCTCCTTCTGTTGCTTCTCGTGCATACTCATAATTTGTCCAAATGCATCCAACATACGTTCTGCTCTTTGATCAGTACTACTCCCTGTGACACTTTTTCCCTTTCTCTTTGCAGCCTCCGCTGCCTTCTGGCCGATGGGGCGACGAACGTATCTTTCATCGTCATCAGCAACATGCTCCACATCTTGTCCGGATCCAGAAGTGTGATCTCCCGACTCTGATGTCCTAGATTTTTTCCTCCACGAATTGCTCCACCAGTCCCTTGAAATTTTGGACTATCCTTCAGAATCTCCCAACAGTGAAGCCACTTGAAGCCTCCTTTTATTTTTCCTTCACTGTTCCACTCTGTTAATGCATTTTGTAACACAATAGCATCATTTTCACCACTCCTTTGGTCAGCCCGAAACCTGTTTATGGATGCATTAAATTTAAGGCAATCTGCATGAAAAGCATAGAAGTGAGATTTTATTGAATCCATAGATCTCTCAATCAAGTTTCTAGCATGAGCTGTTTCATTATAATATTGAGTGATTCGTTTCCAGAAGCCTTCAGAAGCTTGTTGAGCACCGACGATGGGATCACTTGAGATAGTACAAAATGCGCGACAAAGTAACATATCTTCCTCCTGTGTCCACGATATTGCCGATGCTTTCCCACGTCTTTTTGGATCAGGTTCCTTATTTTCTTCTGTCTCTGTATTAAGACAAATATTGTCAAGTCCTTCAACCTCTGGCCCCGTGGTAGCTCTTACGGGATCTTGTGAGCCAGTAGGCCCATTACTCATAGCTGTTGGTATGAAATTACCATGTTGAAAATACATGCCAAGTGAATTTGGCATTCCATACTGGGATGCTATTGGCCACATATACTGAGACGGATTCATGTTCATCGAATTTTGTTGTTGAGGGTAGACATGATTTTCTGAAGTTTGGGATATGGGAAATGAGGGAATTTGTTGATATGAAAAATTTTGAAATTGGGATTGCAATTGCATTGCAGGAAATTGGCCAAAAACGGGAGGTATACTCCTACAATAGCGAGAATTTGCTGAAGACGAACTATCGTCCTCAGAAGAGTTAGGCATATTGAAATTAGAAAAAATTGGGTTTCTATCCATTACAACTTATCACTAAAATGAAGATGTATGTTTTACACTTACACAAATCTACTCATGATTTTATAGCCGGAAATTCATATACATGTGGGCAATTGAAGATAGCATGCTATCATGATAAGATAGATGCAATAATGTAGCACTACAAGTTGTAGTGAAAGTTTAGCACGGGTAGAATCTCATGATAAGATAAATGCATGTGACCACAAACTTGAAGATAGTGTTTATCTTTTCATTTTGAAATAACAACACATATTGACCAAGAATGTATTTTGTAAATAAATAAATAATATCAAAAATAAGGAAGAAATAGAAAAAATAAACTTTTATCTTCCAAATAATTAATAAGTGTAAAGAATATAAAAAATATTACGCATTTAAAAATAGCAAAAAAATGTAGGCATGAAAATTTTAATATTAGAATTTCATATTATAAAAGTAATAGTAAAATTAAAAAATCAGTATTTTACGTATTTAAAACCTCGTTTTGAATTATTTTTCGACAACAATTGCAACTCCTTCTTATTTAAAATAATTACTTTCATTTTTTTTTCGGGCTGTCAAGTAATTTCTTTTTAAATCGAACAATCTCAGTTTGCTTTTTTATTTAACGAGCAATGTTTGTTGACGTTCGTTTTTCTTCAAATATAACTCGTTTTCATCTTTTAATTAACATATAAATCTCCATTCATTACTTTAAATTGAATATTATTATTAAATTGAATATTATTATACTTAATAGTTTGTTATTAATTACTCTTTTTAAAATCAACCAAACATGATTAAGTTGGTATTTAAACTAAAAAATGTAAAAGAATAAAAAATAACATTGGACATGACCAGGAAAATTAAAAAATGTAAAAGGATAAAAAAAAATGAAATGGGTCCTCAAAAGTTGCATAACCCAACGTCCCAATTGCTTTGTGAAAGAATAAAAAAATTAAAATGGACCCACACAAATTGCACAACACCGTATCCCAATTGCAACACAGCTTTAAAAAATCAAACCTCCCACTCCCTTACTTTAGTCATAACGCTGGTAGGATAAGGTTTATAAACCTTGTGAAAGCTGCCGTTAGAGTTGCTCTGAGAGGGTATTGATTGGGAGAGCAGAGATTGGAAACCAAACCTATAATGAGAGAGCTATAAGGGGTAGTTTGTTAATTGTAGTTTCTGCTTATATTTTGTGTTCTTACACATGTTGTGCTTCGAACCCATTTTTTTTTCAATATCATAGTATCTCGAAGAAATGTTTTCACATGTTTTGATTTATTTATGTTGTAGAAAATTCAATGTTTATTTGACGTTTATCAATAGTTTATATTTTGATATACAAAAAAAAAAATATTTTTAGCCATGTCACGATTTGTTAATATAAACGTGTTAAAAATTATAAATAAACATAAATAGTTCCTAAATTGTCCTAAACTTACAATAAAATATTTATTGTTTATGTAAAATTGAAATTTTATTAAAAGGTTAGTGTGCATGAAAAACATTTAAAAAATTGTTGTTTATGGAAATTAGCCTTTTTTCTTTTGCACAATCCCAAGAAAGTTGAAACTTACATTACCAAAATAATATACAAAGTTGATTAGTAATTTAGTACACATAACGAGTTGATTACCGAAAGTACACAAGTACACATAACAAGCATTCACTATAATATTATCAAAAATCAACCATCTAGATTTTGTCAATACATAATTTGATAAGACAGTCAGGTTAACTGATCTTATCTCTTGTGTTCCCGTTTTCATTGTGTGGTCTCCATTCTCATGTATGAAATCATTGTATGAAGTTCCTCAAGATCACAAAACTAAAATGATCTACAGAAACCCATTCAGTAATTAGCGCATATAACTGATATTTTTGACGAAACATCAAAAGGATAAGCAGAATATTAGTAAATTCTCCAATTTGCAGTGCTTTTGCACTGCAAACATGGTTATTCTGTATCTGGACCAAATAGATGAAATGAAACATTAGTTAACAACTTATCATAGTTTCAAGAGTTGACTTAAATAAAAAAAGAAAAAATCTCAATGATTCCATTCCGTGATCCTCACAGTTTATGTCAAATGAGAAATCCATTTATCAAGCACAATATGTTGCCCACCCATCACCATTCCAACCAAATAGTTGTTACAAAGCACCCCCAAAATAAATGATATAATAATAATGATAATAATAATAATAATAATTAAACTGACCGAGAGCATGAACTCCAGAATAGTTGCTTACCAAAGAAAGTTAAACAATGAAGCCACTGTAATGAGACAAAAGACGTATCAGGAACCACAAACAAGTACAAAACATAGGACATTTCAAGAACATGTTTTTGTTTTGTTAGATATGTTTATGAATTAAAGGCATAACAACACTTTACTTATTTTCAGGTACTCTGCAGACCAAAACATCTGAAACTCACTCAAAACCTTAAAAACCAACATAAACATAAAAAAAGAACGTCAAACAATACTAAACAAAAACCTGATCCACCACCACCACAACACAATTCAACCTTTTGTACCTCCATAAATCATCGTCTAGAAAAAAGCCCTGCTACCATAAAACACCCTGGAATTACTCTCTTTCTTCTCCTCCTTCTCCATCTCAATCTTCTTCTCACCATCCCCCCGAATCAAATCTCCCGAGCCATCGTTTTTTCGCTTCTCCAAATCCATCGGCAGCTTCATTTTCGCCAGCGACTCCGTAAACTGCTGCATGCTCCTCATATACATATCCACTATCTGTTTCTGCATAACAGACTCTTCAGCCTCAGCAGCCACGTTTTCCTCCCGCGCTTCGCCCTTCTTCGAGGTAGACAATTCACTTTCATCAGGAGATGTCGATAAATCCGCAAAGAACCCGCCTTTTTTCTCCATGGAGTCGGCCGAGGCCCGGTCATCGCTCAAGCTCGTCATAGTCGAGCTCAAAAAGCCCGAATTCTGCTCGGGAGAAACCGATAACTCATGCAATGAATTATTATTAGCCATTTCATGGTCCTGCACAAGCATGGGCCCGAGATGGAGAAACGACCCATCGGGCCTACTGGGCCACGGCCTCATAAGGGCCCGCCCGTTTTTTTCAAAGTACTCAGAGACCATCTGCTCGTTCTCGTTCACAACGTTCATGTCCGGAAACTCGATCCTCGAATACTCTTCCGGGATTTTTTTATGTTCGGAAGTCGTCGGACAAGAGTCGACTACTATTAATTCGGAAAAGAAAAGGCGGGAACTTTTCTCGTCCAAAGTTAGCGATAATTTGATGGTTCCAGCTGGCGAGTGGAAGAGGTCGGTGGACGAGAGAGCGAAATCTTGAGTCACTTTACCCTTTCCGGAAAGTGAAGAAATAGGGACGAGGGCGAAACCGAGAAGCTGATCGTCCATGAAGTTTTTCACGCGGCTGAGCATCCATATCTCGCATTTCAAGACTGCGCCAGGCTGGCGGATTTTGATGAGGAGACGCTCGTTGAATTCCGGGTTTTTGCCTCCGCCGTCAATGATTCTTGTCGAGAGGGTCTCGTCAGGGTTGTACGTTAGGGAGAACTTGGCGTACACGTCTTGGTTGTCGTATATGCATATGTTGTGGATGTTTCTTGCGTGGTGTACGTGGATTTCGAGGATGGCTGAGAAGGATTGCTCATGCTCGGGTTCTTGATTCGAACCAGGGTTGTATGTGAAGGAATCCATTGCCTTGTGCTGTGCTGAATCTGGGAGCATACAGATCAAGAACAGAGTATAAGTGAAAGATCTATTTTTTGTTTAGTGAATTTAGGAAAATTCAAAGAGAGGCTATCAGAAAGCAACATATGAAATGAAACATCACTTAGAAGGGAAAAATGTGGTGGTGGAATAAAGTGGGAGTTGGATATGAGAGAGGCAGATGGAGAAAGGTAAGAAGATCCCAACACAAGGAGACAAGTGAAGGTCAGCAGTAGGTGAGTAAGAATTGAAAAAAAAAAAAAAATGATGATGTGAGGTAGTGTTTTGGGTTGGTAAAGATGGTGAATTGTTTTGCTTTGCTTGGAAATGCAGATAAATTTATTCCCCACTTACCTCTTAATGAAATTTGCTCCACTAAAGGCGAATTGGAGGACCCAATCTTCATTATTGAGCACCCACCACCTTTTCTCCCTTGCTCTTCAAGATTNAAAAATTAATAATAATAATAAAAATAAAAGAACATAAATGAGACAGTAAAAGAGATCTAATAATGACTGTTATTAAGTAGTAGCTCAGGTACCAATTAGTCGTGATCACAATTACATCAGAATACACCCTCCAACACTCAATCCAAACATCAGCAGCAAGCTAACTAAATTGAAAAGATCAAAAGAGTCAATTATGAGAAATTAGGAGGTGGCATCCAGCATTTTGATTATTTAATCTATACCTAATACAAATGTAAAGTGCATTGGTGGTATAATAAGAAAAAAAGAAAATGACTTAACCCCCCCCAAAAAAACTGTACAAAAAACTGGAAGACAGGCTTCGGTTTCCCATGGCTGAAACCAAACTCGACTATTTGCAACCCAACCTCGTCAGATGCTGCTGATGCTTAGCAGCAGCAGCCTTATCAGCAGCTTCGCGCTTCAAAGCCCGTTTCGCACGCCGGCCCACTAATTCTTTATTAGGGCTGTCCTTCTTGGGCTGACGAGATGGGCCCGCATCTGGGTCTTGAGCAAACAGGTGACGGAGAGGCCTTGCTTCTTATCTTCCCGCCCTAACGTACCCATTGTCTCCCCATCTGCGATTACCTATTCGGAGGCTTGAGGAACTCGAAAAATTAAACTCCGCAAGATCATCTTCATCGTCTTCATAATAATAACAATCTTCTATTTTGTCCAGCTCCTCCTTTTCGGCTTCAACCAGAGGCTTAAACCACGAAGCTAGAAGGAGAAGGCAAACACTCTCCTCAAACATGTAATCGTAAATGCTGCACCAAAGAGTATATCGAAATAAAGGGTGCAACTAATAATAATCATATACATCATATATAATAGCAGTGATCTGATGAGTGAAATTTGTTAGTATAGCCAGAGTTCCTGTAATATATACGATATTGTGGTTGATTTATTCCTTCTTCCTTTATCTTAGATATCTATCAATGCTCCTATTTGATATTGTATAAGCTCAGGAAAGAAAATTGATAAACTCATGGAAAAATATTGACAATTAACTGAAACCTCGGGCCAAAAATATTGCATGCCAACGACCATGATCATACATACTGACAACTACAATGGTTAAATGAAATCATCCAATGTCAACATAATTATATATATATGTGTGTGTGTGTGTGTGTGTGTGTGTGTGTCCGGAGGGAGGATAATACCTTCCATCAAGAGCACGATGAACGTTAAGGAACTCAAACGGAATTTTACACTGAGGACAAGTTGGTTGCTTTTTGCAAGAGGCCCACCGCAAGATGCAAGTCACACTGAAAAAAAAAATAAACTAGAATTAATTATTACTGACAAAATGGGCATGGTAATTACAAACAACCTCCAGTCTATAAACAAGACTCAACTAATGAAATCAATAAGCTTGTTGGTCACAATACCTCACTCACCCACACTTCACCAAACATTTAACTCTTTAATATAAACACAGCCTGTCTATTGCCAGAAAATCCATTTTTTATACCTGCCCCTTTTTTCTTGCATTGCCATCATTTTCTAGCATGATATAGGGGTGAACTCACTCAGAATAACTAGCAAATATAATTTTAAGGTACAACGCTTGTTATTCCTTTGGTTTAGCGACCATAGCCACAAAACAATCTCAACGACTAAGCGACTAGACATATATACACATCTAAATGACACCGGTTAAAAGAAAGGGGCAGTAATGTTATTCTAATACTAAAGTAGTTGCAAGATTTAAGATGCGAATAGAATAACACATGCATACTTACTACTGAAGTAACAACGAATTGTGGTAATGAAGATCCCGAGTATAATCAGGTTAAGTGATAATCTATTTCCTTGTTCTTGGCATTTACAAGACAAAAGAAGTTAAAAGTGAGTAGGAAAACAAAATGAAAACACGAGAACTGTTTCAATAAGATTAAAGGTGAACAAGTCAAGGAAACAAAATCAATTATGACTATTCACGCCCATAAAGAAACTCAAACCAAGAAGATAACCAAGTAGAACTAGCTTTGCCTGTTGGACAGTGCTGATCTCAATGGACAGGTTTGGGCTACACAGCAGTGAAATTATGTTTTTATCAACTTGAACTATAACAAGTGAATTCGTAATATCAACACGAGCAGTTAGGTTTCAGGGAAACCAAAAATTGGGATGGATATTCTACCTAAAGAAAATCATTGATTCACCCTTATCTCGACCTTTTTGTTGCTATCTTTTTGACAGTAGATTGGTCGCAAACTAAAGTTCATACTTGAAATAAAATTTCTAAAACCAAAATCCTCATTAGTTTCAGCATCAGGAATTTGCCAACAGACACCGGATTAATCAATTCCAAAACCATAGGCACTTCACAAGGACACTGGAGCTGCAAAATTAAACTGATGAGCACCACTTCAAAATCCATCAAACCGATCGCAAAATCTACATACATTCCCATGTCTCAACGAAAAATTGATGCATATGCAATCCCAATAACATTCCACACGCACGCAGAGCTACCCACCAACTTTAAAATAAGAAAGAGACACAGAAAAATATAACCACGCAAAATCTCACAAATGCTACCATTAAATAAATAGAGAACCAGACAAACCAGTATGCATGCTCGCAACCTTTTACAAGGGCTGTTTCTTGAAGCACAATCTTATTCAAACATATGGCACAAAACCCATGATGGTTATTTATGTCAACTCGGTTAGTGTTGCACTCCCCTGAGTTAGTCTCCTCTGCTGCTGCCGCATAGTCTCCCGCCCTACCAGTCTGAAATCAATATTTTAATTCATTTCACTCAAAAATGCATCCAAACGTCAAATGTTTCATTGCATAATTAAGAATCACGAAACAATCCCAAAAGGTTAACAAATAAAAGCATTTAGAACACAACATCAACATCAACAAAAACAACGATAAACAACAGCATCATCAACAACAACAACAAACATCTGCATCGATTCGTAATAACTACTTAAACATTTCAGTTAAAGATCAGAATTAATTGTTTTTCCTTTATTTTAGCAAACAACATCCATACAACTTTCTCCTCACTAATGAATTGGTCAATTTTTCATGGAACTATAATATCCAGATTCGTACACACAATCACATCCGCACCAAACCAAAATCAGCCAAACCTCAACGTAAATCTTATATCAATTTTACACTGGAGATAAAGCAGCTACGCAAATTTAAAAATCTATGCAAGAGTTTCGAACATGGCCTTGGATGGCTAGATCCTGAAGATCCTCAACGAGCTCCAAACCAACGACTTCAACTGAGGCAGACATGATTATTCGCCTCTGTCAGATGCAGCGATAATCTACAAGCTAACAACTCTGAATATTTACAGATAAAAAAGGGGAAAATAAAAAAAGGGGAAAAAAAAGAATACGAAGAAGATAAAAGAAGGTTTATTGACTTTCTGATTCCGGGAGTGGCAAATGCGAGTAGTAGAGATGTTAAATAGTCTTTGACCCGACGGGTCGGCCCGTTTAGTCAGGAAAAAAAAGAGGGTTAGGTCCTTTTATTAGTAGCCCGTTTAAATCAGGGCTTTTTAGGTCCAGACTGTTTAGCCCGAAGCCCGCTAGGGCTAGTCCAAAATCCGTTAGGGCGGGCCCGTTTAACTAGGTTGGGCGGTGTAAATGTTTGCATCAAGTAAGTAATATACTCTTAGATTTCTTGTATATTACAATTTTGATATTTCAATTCACATGTAAGTACAATTTGTAATGCATTATTATGATTTTGAAAGATAATTATTAACAATATTGTTATTGTACTTCATACCAAAATATTTAAGCCAATCAGAACGACTAATAAGAAAGACATGAAACATAGTGATAAACGGTAATTACTAAATAGCCGTTGAAAACAATTTTTAACTAGCCGTTGTTATTTTTTTTATAATTTTTACTCTTTTTATTTTTTATTTTTTTATATATTATTATTATTATTATTATTATTATTATTATTATTATTATTATTATTATTATTANNANNGNNANNGNNANNANNA